TCTCCAATCGCAATAACGTAAAGTATTATTACCCGCGAACCAATGAGTCAAATTTAAGAAACAACCCACTGTTAGAAAGCTGAATGGCTACGCTTTAACATGAATGTAGACTTTAACGTTTTCGTCTATTATTTGTTTAACAATTTACATTTCAGTCGAGGATTGCGCTTTTTTTGATACACCCTGTATAAAGCTAAAGGATATGGTTTACGAATGCTTGAATTCAATGAAAAGCTTGTCTCTCTTACCAGCAGACTTGGCTTTCTTCATTTCTGGATATAAGGTTCTTCTGATAGCTTCAATTTCTTCTGGAAATTGTTCTGAAATTCCTATACGTGTTCCTTTTAATTTTCTGGCATATTTTCTAATAAACTCGCGGTCTTGAAAGAAGTTGAATTTGGCAACAATTGGTCTGGGCTTCGTGCGTCGGATGGATGGATGTGTTGGCTTGCCAAGTCGGTGAGAGCGGTCGATTTTGACACGGTTTTTTGCATCTTCGATTCCCATTTTGTTTTCCAGTATATCGTATATAGTTTCGGACGTGTTTTCATTTTCATCCTCAGATATATTAAAGAATAAAAGATTATCCCTCATTGATCGGGCCTTCAGATCTGTTATGTTATCCTGAATTTTCCGGTTTGTCTCTTCTAGATTTTGGATTTTGGTTTGGACTTCCAGTATAACTTCTTTATTTTCTTCAAATTCTTTCTTTATGTCGACTACTTCCAAATGAGCATATTCAAGAGAGGTTTTCAAATCCTTAACATCTTGCTCCACAGCTTTTATTCTCTTCTCAATGTGTTCAAGGGTATCCAATTTCTTCATCATGGCTTTCATCAATGCGTATATTTCTTCAATTTTCGTATTTTGGTCGTTATTTTCCATTTTCGATCCGTCGGGTGTGTTGGGTGACTTCGTTATGTTTAAGTTATGTTTGTTCGTTGGGCTTTTCGTTACATTATTCGCTATTTCTCGTTGAGCACGCTTAGACGCGTGTTGTCTGGTTGATATGATATATGATATGATAGTTAGTTCCTTACGTCTTCGCTGGTTGTTATACTTTAAAATAATTTTGTATGTACCGAGAAATAAATATTCCGAGTATATAAATATATAAACTGGGATGTCACACTGATAGCTTGTTTACATTTCCTGGAGCATCATGAAATCTTATGTTTAACCACGGTGGTTTAACCCATTAGCTGGCAATGCGCCCTTCCCTTGTCGAGCGCCAGAAGATTTTACTCGTCAGTGGTATAGGGTACTGCCAGTAAATGGGTTAACAATTAAACCTATCTGCCAATGGCTCTTGTTAATTCATCAGCACAGTAATGACCCCTACTTTAGTATTTACCCTGTCCAACGCCAGACGATTTTTAATACTCAGTCAGTGGTAGGGTACTGTCAATAAATGGGTTAACAGGGATAACAATAATCAGCCTGCATGGCAGGCGGTATTTCCCAGGCTTGCCCAATTTTAGGAACCGCCTGTCATGCAGGCTATGAGGCTAAACAATAATAGGATGTTTCTGAAGGACTCGTTCAACACCCTGTAGTTTGTCTTTTGCTGTCAAAGGCAGCATTACTGCCCTGTGGGTAACCTAGTTTAAACACATTCATTGCGAAATAATGTAGTGAATATGATTGTCATTGTTTACTTGAGCGTTGTGTCTGAAAATATTCCATTGAATGTTTGAATTTGCCGCGTTCGTTTTGCATATAAAACATGCAAATGTTGCTTTCAGGCAACGGACGAATGATTAAAATATAAATTAAAATCTATTCTTGTGAATTGCATACTAATTTAAGCACTATAATATTAACAATTTGACAATATTAAATTGCCTTTGACATTGGCACTTTGCTAGAACGTTGTCAAGACTCAAGGGTATATAGTGATATGAAATAAGATATGCGGATGTTTTTAAAGATCTGTTAGCATGTTAATACTTGAATATAGGATTGGAATTACAGAAGAATGACAGCATTTAATGTAATATTTTCAGTGTATAGATAGCTGAATAATTGAATTGTGTCCTACTTTAATGTTTTACTCTGTCTAATGCCAGAGTGTTTTACTACTTGCCTTGCCGGATAACTCAGCTACAGAGAATGTATAGTTTTCCCGACTTACTGTTTACAACTTTACGTGGGGCAATAATGTACTTCACCCGGAAAAACTCTGCAACTGTAGATAGAATGTATATGCCTTGCATTTGAAATAATTGCTCAAAAATACACTATACAGATCATTAGGTATAAGCTTTTCTGAATTTCTAGCGGCTTCATTATTCCTGCATATTTTGTAACTATGTTTTTTAAACCTTTCGAATGACCCAAATTGTGTTTGTATTTTGCCAATGTGCGGTAATTATGGGGCAACTTGATTTCATATATCGGTAAATAGACTGCTTGTTTGTCCTGCCTGAGTGAGTAACTCGCCTAATGATGCTCCGATATCCATATTGGTGTATCGGCTTATCTGTACTAAAATAGAAATATCGGTATCTGTAATTTGATGACGTCATGCATCTTTGAATTTTGTGAAATGACATGGAATATCAGTATCGGCAAAATATTGATCCTTTATTTTTTGGAATATCGGTGAATTTCCATATTTCGGTGCATTACTAATACAGTATACCGCAGCTCCAATAATCGTTCTTAACAATCAGAATTTACCTGTGTATGAATTGAGTTTGCAAACCGGTGTTGCAAAATAAGATTTAACAAAATTATCCCTCCAAGAACACGTTGATCTTACTCTATCCTAAGCCTAACTAGTCTGCTTTTGTAATCTGGCCCTGCTAGGGCAGACAAATCAGTCTAGCTGGACCTCGCAATTTATACGGCAAGCAGGCCTGTCACCGCCTGTCCCCATTTAGTGAGACAGCCCGGTGAACAGCCTGATAAATTTTTCAAGATTGTGTTTATACGGTATGAGAAAATGTCATCCTGCTCGCCGGGACAATTTTGTTATGTTGACAGTTGTTAAAAATAGGTTGCAGCTCAGCATCTTTGAACATTCATCCCAGCCCAGCCTGCTTGTGAATGTTTATGTGGAGAAATTTTCATCCCAATAAGCAAGATTGTGCCAACAAAGCCAACCTGCTTGTGGATCCATATAAAAACATGATAATTTTTTCTAGATAAAAATACCTAATGCAGTAAGATCTTGCTTACCGGGCTGTCTCACTAAGCGGTCCAGCCCTGCTTCCATAAATACAGCCGCTTTGAAGTACCCTGTACAACAGCCGAAAGTAAACTATATTGTCAGTAACTGTGTGATGTGGTATTGGACAATTATTACATTTAACAATTATTCGCCAAAGGCGAATATTGTTAATCACCGAGCCTGAGGCAAATAATTGTTTTAGTATTTTTACACAAGTTTTTTGTGTTATTTGGTACTGAATTTATTTTAATTTCGCTTATTTCTTTATCAGTGTAAACTTCCACAAAACGGCTAGCCGCCATTTTGAAAATTTCAGATTTGTTATATTCATCTGAGGTGAATATAAGATCTTAATATGTATAGGTTATTTTGACCAATCAGGTTATAGGATTTATTATGTTCACTTGTGCAGAAATACGAATTCTTGATATTGCAGCTTTGATGCATGACTATAAGGAGGATAGCAGTCTATCAGGCACTAGCCACATGAAAATGATAACCCGAATCCAGCACATCCGTATCTGCCTGCAGCCATGTCTCTGCTTAACATATAATTTATATAAAACATTGGTAATTACAACAGGTAATTGGTCGATTATCACAAGAAACCCTTTGTATAGATAAGAATGATATTATATAATTATAAATTGTAACTCGGCTGAAAAGTTAGCCTGGCCATGGTGGGAATTGAACCCGCAACCTTTGGTATACTAGTCCAATGCTCTGCTAACTGGATATACACTCAGAGCAACATCAAAAACAATATTCACCAGTGAGTACCTGTACATATATAACATATAAACACCAAAACACAGACAGTCTTAATAAGAAAATTCTTTTTAAGAAAAATTTCTTGATTTGAGAAATTATTTTCTTTTATTGTAAGAAAATATTTTTTCAAATCAAGAATTTTTTTTTCTTATTAAGAAAATTTTCTTGTTATTCTCCCAAGAAAATATTTTCTTATTTCTTTCAATGGTTTATCATTATCTAAGTGAAATATAAAAAAGGCACGTGTTCTGTAATTTTACTCCGCATATAAATGCTGCTGATTATGGAAAGTCCATGAACGTATTATTCCGCATAGGCCCACGGGCACATTTTTTGAGGGGAGGCTGGGCTGAATTTGCCCGAATGACATGTACATGACGTCATAGGTTTCGTGTCATCATCATAAAATTATATAATCTGAGAAGACTACAAATGAAAGGCTTTCCTTTAAAGATTGACAAACGTGATATAGTCCTTGGTTGTCGTCCTTGGTTGTCATGTTACTTTTTACAAAGAAAGTACTGATTTTCGACAGGGATGAATCAGATGATCCCATCACTGGATGACATTTTACTTCTTTACCATTATGAACCAATCGAAAAGGCAGTGGCGGCGCCAGGCCCTCCCCATTTTGCCCCCCCCCCCCTCAAAAAAATTTATTAGTCACTGAGAGCGACTAAAGGCTACACAAGCGTTTTGTCGTTATCAGAAAATGTATGGCTTATAAGTTGTCATTACTCATTAGTGAATGCGCGTATACATGAAACTGTCTTTTACAGTTTCAATATTAGTTTGGAAATCTCTGAATGGTAAAACCTGCCAATACTCCAATAATACGTTTCAGAAAAGACAAACAAGCTTTAGTTTTGCAAAGTTAAACTCTCAAATGTGTAAAGGCACAGACCGGACGCGATTCGGCAACGCGACGCGAATTTTCAGTTTTCAAAAACAAATAAAACCGTCCACGGATAAATTTTACAAGAGATGCAGATCAAAATAATAAAATTGCTAAGTGGTCCCGAAGATTTGAAAAACAATGGAAAATATTAAAGTTAAATGTCATTGAAAACTGAAAATTCGCCTCGCGTTGCCAAATAGCGTTCGGTCTGGATGGGCCTTAAGGCACTAATAAGATGAAAGTATTACAAAATTATTTGAATAAACCACATTGCATATATGGGGGGGGGCGAATATCCTAAGGAGGGGAGGGGGGGCGATATTCCTAAGATATTCGTCCCCCGGGGGCGGTATTCCTAGGAATATCCCCCCCTTTTGAGAGGGGTGCGAATCTCCTGGGGGGGCTAAAGTCCTGTGACAACGCCATGGGCAAAAATCTATCTTGTTCCCCTAAAATATGAGTTTGTCCTTAAATGCCCCCAAATTCTGGGGCCTGGTGCCGCCTGACTCCGTATGCAAACAAAATGCTTTGTTTACATTTCGGTATCCAAAATATAGAATTTTATTCGAAAACTATTTATATTTTTATGATTCTAGAGTATTATAAATTATCAAGACACAACAATCTAGCTTTGCAAGAACATAGAATGAAATAAAAACCTAAATAAACTGTTTGTATAATAAAAAGAGGGCTCCTTTGTGCACATGCGCAGATTGGACTGTACAGCATCTTTAATAGTTTTATAGTTTTATAGCCTACTTTATGCTAGGTAAACTGATGAATATAGGCATGAATACAGTAGTGAAATTTTATTAGTAGCCATAGCAATTGTTCCTTCGTGCTAGCCGTTTTTGTGGGAATTTACGTAGGCTATGAGGTATGTGTATGTGCGTTAAAATCAAAACCAAATCCGATTAAGTTAGAGCACTTGACCTTTAATAAATTAAAGGTTAACCTGACGCAACATGCTTGAATCTACAATCTTGGACATAACTGACTGAGACTATATTTTCCCCCCATAGAAAATTCGCGTATTTTTAT